AACAAAATACGTCCAGTGTATCTTGACGCATAATAGCCGGTTTCATCCACCTTTCTATTACTATTGTTATCGTTATGGCATACTAACGGACGATAATGGGTATGGCGCCATTCCCATAAATACAATAGTGAATATTGTACTTGATCTGGAGTTCGATATTGCCAGACGTGGCTATGCCAAAGGGCAGAGTCTCCTCTCGACAAACTGCTACCCGACTCCGTTTTATACGGGGTCAACGGAGAATTTTTGGTCGAGCTTACGGGCTCGGATACCCCACATTAAATTCGGCCTTGTGCCACATCTGACCGCGTGGGGTGTTTGAAAGATACCCAGAGTTGGAGATTCGTCTCCAGCTGTGCTGGTTAAATTCCCTGCCTCCGTTCAAAGAGGATCCCCAGATGAGGCTATGTCGAAGGCAGAGTCTCGTCTCGAGAAACAGCTACCCGACTCCGTTTTATACGGTGTCTACGGTAAATTTTGGGCCAAGCCTACGGGCTCAGATACCCCACATTAAATTCGGCCTTGTGCCACATCTGACCACGTGCGGCGGTTGGTAGATATCCTGCAGTTGGAGATTCATTGTGAAATTCACTTGACTCACTTTTAGCAGTTGACTACTACTTCTACGCACCGTTGGTGAGTCTTATATGTGTTGTTCTTGTCCTAAGTATTAACGTGCATTACCAAGCTTCGTTTGATTATTCTCTTCAGTAACCTTCCCTTGGTTACAGCAGTTATATGTTTTAAGTAAGTCGCAAAGAACTATTTGAACTGCTGGGTAAGCTTGATTTATTTGTGAAGGATATTGGAATAACCCAGAACCTATACTGCGTAAAAACCGCCTGCATACGAAAATGAATTCAGTAAATACACAAATATAGAAAAAGACGAAAGACATGAATATGTCCTTTCACCGGACTTATTCAACCTTTACAATGAGGCGATCCTGAGAGAATTAGAAGTCCTATCATGATTCCATTTTGGCGGTCACGGTCTTAACAAATCAAGACATACAGATGAATCAGTGTTGATAGCAGACATAGAAAGGAAACTACAGAAACTCCGACAGATGGTAGTAAAGGAAAGCGAGAAGAACGGACTAAGCAGAAGTCCGAAGAAGGCAGAATGTAGGATTGTTAGAAAAAGGAACAGCCCTAGACACGAACTTTGAACACATCGAAATCAATCAAGTACAAAAATTTAAATATCTAAGAAATGTTTTAACAGAGGATGGAAAATGCGACACCAAAATCCGAATACGCACTGGGATAGCTAAAGATGTCTTTCAAAAGCTAAGCAACGTATTGAGAAACAAGAAAATTTCGTTAGAAACGAAAAAAAAGAGTACTGAACGTTTATGTAATTTCGGTCTTTTATATGGCAGTGGAAGCTGGACATTCTTCTCACTGATGAAGAACAGACATGAGGCAACAGAAATGTGGTTCTACAGAAGGATACTGATTCAGGAAAAGATCATTTAAATTTCTAGGATACATAATGAGGAAAGTGAGCTAAGAGAATTTGGTATTCACGTGACACATTGAATGGAGGATGATAGCTAAAATCCTACCTAATGAGTAAATGGTTGGCAGAACAGGGATTAGGAGAGATAGCAAAAAGACAAACATTACTAACAGCTACAAAGGAGAGGTCGGGAAGTTATGAAGAACCATCATCGCTCACGTCCTGAAAGGAAACGGCACAGAGAAGAAGAATATATGTGTATGGATTCAGTCATGGCCGATGCGAACTACCTCCGAACAAGCGGGACCCTGATTGGGGGCCCCGGGCAGTGTTTTATGACTCCTGCTATCTTGTCAACATTTGTTTTTTTTTTCTATCTAAATTTATATACGTTACAAATTAAACTGACTAGTAAAGGATGAAATATTTTCTCAGATTTTGAGGTCATTTTGTTATTTATTTATTTATTTTTTCCAAATCCGTGAATTTATTTTGCGCATGCTAAGTCTCTAAAAATCGCTATATATAATTCACTATCAACATTTTATCAATTGTTCAAAATGTTAAATTATTCAACTTTTTAACAAAAAAAAAACTTGAAAGTTGATGTTAATAATTGCGGAAAAACATTGTTGGTTAATTTGAGATGGAACGATCCATTATGACATGTCTTTGTAATTTGTATACATTGCATTTATTTTTAATTTTTCTAGTTGAATTGTTCATCTATATCAAGGGTCAGCAACCTACGGCCCGCGGGCCGGATCCGGCCCACGAAGGCATTTTGACCGGCCCGCGAGCCTGATTACCAATGACTCTATTTTTAACATGAGAGACGAGGCTTTCGAATTAGACTATCTGCCAGCTATTTTTCATGAGACCTATTTTACCAAGTTGCATTGCCTACGTTTAATGTCAAATAATGAATACATATTTGTTCTGACCCTTGGCTACATTAAAAGATAACAGAAGCGAAAGGAACGATAAAGTGAAAGAGGCCAGGGAGGGACTGACATGCGAGGTAGCAGAAATCTAAAGACATTTAAACATACGCGTATTATACATACATGCCTCATGAATGTGTGGATGATACCGCATGTGTACGTACGTAAGTGTATATGTTTTCAACTATTTGTACTCGTATGTATGGGTATATGTGCTTCGTTTTTTTTGTTTGTGTGTGTGTGTGTGTGTGTGTGTGTGTGTGTGTGTGGTGTGTGTGTTGTGTAACAATTTTTAACAATTTTTTAAAAAGTTTCAAACCTACACATCATAATTTCATCCATTTCACTTCGGTTGTTTTTTTTTCACTTTGAAGTATTTTGACGTTCCTTGAGGAAAAAGTAATTTTTGTTAGGTGTTTTTTTTTGATTTTTAGATTTTTTTTTTTTTTTTCTGATTTCTCAATGTTTATTTTCATTATGGTTTTTTATATTTAGGTTGACAGGGGTCTGCATATGTAATTTTCCTTAATTTTTCATTAATGACCATTGTCCGGCCCGCGACCCGTCATTAAAACACGATCCGGCCCGCGGGGGTCGAATGAGTTGCCAACCCCTGATCTATATATTTGCATATGATCCATTATTGCCCATAATTAGGTTACAATAAAATTTGTATTTTATATGAATACTACCTTATGAAAAATTGAGATGTAATAGAAGCGGGAACACGAGACTATCGCACCGGCCCTGGATTCAGTATTTAAAATAAGGTACGTATAAAGCCAAATACTCACCAAGATGGTTCATAAAAATTAAATGAACAGTTTCTGGTTCTGCTGAGTTAACTGTTAAAATCAACTGAAAATAAAATAAAACCACCCGATAAAGAAGAATACTCGAAAACAAAAAAAGAAATTATGCCTGGGTGCATGAAAAGGATTCATTGTTATACAAAATAATCACAAAATAGCCTCCTTTTTACAAAATATCACCAGGGCACTGTCGTACTTTCAAAAACCTAAAAGCTATTTCACATGCACGGACAAAAGCCAGTAAATCAGCGTGCAGTGAGTAGCCATGGTCAAATGAAAAATAAGTAACAGAACTGCCCAACAAACAGAAGCGACACAATTTTCAATAAGCAATAACAATAAAAAGAAAAGGGCAAAAAATAATATAAATCAAGCAAACAATATATGCAATACAAATTAACAGTAATAAGGCAAAACAACAGTAATATGACAAAAATTTCACAAACTAAAAATGCGTTGACACACAAAAGCAAATTCGGACAAGCAAAAGTGGCGTTCTGACTTCAAGACAAGACAGATTGGGATTGAGTCAGATGAAACCACAAACCACCCTATTTTATTGGCCAGGAAAAAATCCCAGTATGCATTTGTGTGCTTCTGAGGGGAAGGATTTTTGCAGTCATTCTTAGCCGGATTGAAACCAGCAATCAGAATTAAAGATTCAACGTTTGCCCAATCAAACGGAAGATCGAGAATCTTAAATTATGTTCAAGTTGAGCCTATCTCTACCGATATAAGCAGAGGAGAATTAGCATTTAGACAGATAGCAGTATAGAGACAGACGGAGAAGCAACCACATCGACGGACCAGGAAGGACACAAGTGTACGACAGACCGACGCCGCGAAATTCCACTCACTACTCTCCGTCAAGGAAATTGACACGAGAACTAACGCTGCACCAATAGATAATTAGATCCGTGATCTTCATTTCACTTGGCTAAACCTTGAATCCTTAATTCTGATTGGCTGGTTTTGTTATTTTACTGAAACTACGTCTGCGCCATGTTTACGTTACAGTATCTAATTTAACTAATGCTTTAATCCTGGCTACATCCGTCCGTGAGAGGGAAAATATATTTTAGGTTTTTGGAGGTATAAACTCTTTTGTTTGTTTGTTTATCAACATCCTTATGGGTCATTTAATGCCAAATTTTAATTTTCTTGGGAGCATTAGTAATTTCTTTGACAAAAAGATGTATTGCTGGTATTTTTTTTTTTTTTTTATAAAAATATATTGCTGGTAATATTTTTTTTCCTTGCAAAAATGTATTGCTGGTATTTTTTTTTACTACGAAAATGTAATGCTGGTATTTTTATTATAAATTTTTTTATAGTTTCATAGTGTTTTGATCCCAGTTTTGGGATTAAATATTTGCCCATAGCTAGGACCCTAACAAGTGCAACAGCAGCAATTGAGATGTGGTTGAACGCTCCTCAAAACCTCCCGATCAGAGGCCTTGCTGCCGGATATAGTTTATCGTCATACTCAGGACGACATAAACTCTTTTCTTTTGGTCTATTTACCAGGTTGCAAGATAGTCCCGTTTCTCCTCTGGGGAGATTTCGACGCATGTCGAGCCGATTTTAGCTTCTACCAAACCACTTTGTCCATCACGTACGCACGCACACACACGCGCACACACACACACACACATATATATATATATATATATATATATATATATATATATATATATATATATATTCAACGTCTAAGTTTATTTTTCTGTCCTTTTCTGCGCTATGTTTTTCTCTATGTAAATATACTGTTGTGGGTCGCTTACGGTCAAATCACGCTGAAACACCGGTTCTCGTTCGATCACCGAAGTTAAGCATCGTAGAGACCAGGTCAGTACTTAGATGGGGACCGCTTGGGAACACCTGGTACTGTAAGCCCCCAAAAGTCCAACCCTTACCTCACAGTCGGTGGGGGGTGTAAACGGTAGTGTCAGAGCTATGCCGCCGGAACTTCGTTCCTGGTAGGGCCACCAAGGTGGACAGGTCTGACACACACGCCGGCTAACAAGGGCTCTGGTGAAAATCAATGAGCGTCTGCATCGGTAACCGGCGGCTTCTGGTCGTTCCTGTCTCTGCGTCTGTGGGAATCCGCGGCAAGCAAGAACGTTATTCAGTAGGCCTGGGTACCCTACTTCTGTAATTTATCCCAAGAATCTTCTTCTCATAACAGGAAGAAGCCGGCTCAATCCGCCCAGGGTGAATGCCGCATCAGTACAGTACAGTAGTAGTACTGTTGTGGGTCAGGACGAATAATCATTTTTACGACTCCTAATATTATTTTTCCCGCATACAATATCTTCCAGACAGATGTAAGTCCGGGCAAATAACTTTATAAATCTTTAAACAAACAATAAATGTATTACCTAAACTTGTTAACAGAAAATTAAAGTAAGAAAGGAATTTCACTTTTTAAAGATGTCGAAGGTTCAGCACAACATTCTGGTGTAATTCTATGCATCGTATTTTGCCGGAGGTAGAAAAAAGGCACGAGTTGTCGCTCCCGAAGTCAAAGGGGAAAAGGAGAAAGCCTTTCAAAAATCGCACTTTATGTACACCAACAAAATCTGCTCCGTCTTATAAGGCCAAGATGACCAAATAAAGGATGATGAGTTATCGAGTCAATCCAAACAAATGGCCTCATATCTCTCCATATTGGAATCTTTTTGACCATTACATATGGGGCGTAGTCTAGTGGGAAGCCAGTCAACGTCACCATAACTACTATACAATCACTGAAGTCCGCCATAATTAGCACAGATTTCAAAATAGATAAAGATCATTTGATTCGGGCATGTCAACGTTTTACGACTCGTATTGAAGCGGTCATCGATGCTAACGGTGAATTCTTCAAGTAGATGCGTCAAGAAGTGTTTCAAGATTATTCATGCCAATTTTCTTACAAATAAAAATCTTCTTTCATGATTTATGCATCTTTTACTACATTCCTGGAAATGTCCACAAAGAACAGAACCAGCCTGTATCTCAATATTTTTAGAAAATGTTTGTATAATAGTAGGTATCCGAAAGTTCCCTAGCTTACATTTTGAAAACTCGTCAAAACAGTAAAATTTCCTTCGATTTCAACTGCTTTTATCGCGTTTTATTTTCAACATACAACTGTTTTTTGAACAGGTGTAATGTCTTCATCAGTAAGAAACATCTTTGTTGAATGCTTTGTATGGCAACGTGATCCAATATGGAATATTTGACATTCTACTATTTCTGCTAATTGGTGGAACTGTAGCAAAGTCATATATATTTTCATTGTTTGGTGTTCCATCAATTTTTATCAGCTTTCTTGCACCATTGCAGCTGCTGTAGTTTAATACAATTAGCCTCTCGTCATCAATAAATTTTATGGTCTCTGTTGTAAATTTAGATTTAATTTCTTGGACCAATTAGTCTTTGAAGTTACACTCTTGAATTGAAATTCATTTTTATGTTACTTTTATCTCAATATATCACTATTGACAAGTTTTATTATCACATAGCAGATGTTCTTCCGATCAGTAATTTTTGTCTATATTTCTCAGAAGAGGTATTGTAACTATTTACCTATTTCCATTGTTGTCTTCATCTTTATTGTCATATTCCCGACGTTTCGGCCTTTGTACGCTCTGGATTTCTTCGGTTAATATATTTTGGAATTTCAAACCGAACTTATTATTTCGTCCCCCGATATATATAGTTCTAGTTCTACATGACATTCCCATTAGGGATATCTCAGTTTTAGTTATTTCCCTTTAGTAATTCAACTCTCCGAGTTTTTGCTCACTTCTGCTGTGGCCAGGTATTGAACTCACAACTCTTTGGATCAAGTCACCGGATTACTTCAACCAATGCTGTTATCCACTGTGACATGTGTACTTAAATTCCAAAATAATACCTGAAAAAGTCCGAAGCGTATAACGCCTGAAACGTCGTGAATATGACAATAAAGATGAGGACATCAGTCCGAATATTGTAAACAGTGTAAATAACAAATCTACGATATCTAAATTTTCATATCAGATATTTTACCATAAGTGTTTTTTTTTGGGGGGGGGGTGTTTTTTATTGATTTTGTTTTTTTGTTTTTTGCTCATCCTTTTGCTGATAACCATACATTCTGTTTTTTTATAGTTTATACTTAGTCCTTTCTACTCGATTTCTTTCGTTAACTTTTGCAGGAGTTTTTGTTGTTTTGTTTTTGTGTCTGCTATCAGCATTGTGTCATCTGCATATCTTATATTGTTAAGATTGTAGCCGTCAATAAGGAATTCTGGTAGAACTTCTAATTCTCTCATAATTACATCGCTGTATAGGTTGAATAAGTCCGGAGAGGGCACATCCTTGTCTTACAACCATTTCTATTTTTGTATATCTACTGAACTCATTTTCTCTCAGTATGCAGGTGCTTTCCTACCAGTATTAATTCTTGATTATTCTAATGTCTTTTCCGAATATGTTAAGGTTATTGGGCAGCTCTAACAGATCTTCGTGGCGTACTTTGTCGAATTTCAAAAGGGTGAGTGCTAAATCAGATGTTAAAAGGAATGTGCTAAGACAGATGTTAAAAGAGGGCTAAATCCCATGCTAAAAGGGGCTAAATTAGATGTTAAAGGAAATGCAAGACATGTTAAAGAGTGTCGCTAAATCAGATTTTAAAGCCGTGTGCTAAATCAGATATAAAGTTAAATCGCTATTTGAACACTTCGACGTGGTGTGAATGCGATCTTCACTGGGCAGTCCAAACTTATGGTCTTATGTCCCATCTAAACTACGTTTAGTAAATCATTTTTGAGCACTTCATTTTATTATAATGGTCAGCAAGCTTGTCTCGCTAGATCAGTCACGAATCAGTAGTGTGTTCTATCCTCACTGGGTGTTCAATACCTTTGGCCTTGTGCCACATCTAAACATAGTAAAACATCTCGAGAGCTCCTCTTTGCGGCTACTCGGCCTCACATTAACTGCTGACCTGAGATGGAACAAATACATTGAGTCAATAGCTTCGTCCACTGCAAGGAAATTTGGCTCCCTGTACCGCGCCAGGAAATTTTTCTCGCCGGAGTCGATCCTTCAAATCTACAAATCAACCATTCACCCTTGCATGGTGTATTGCTGACATATATGGTCTGGTGCCCCTTATGTTTGTCTCAGGGTTCTTGATAAGATCCAGAAACGGATATGCAATGTAATTGGCCCTGATCTGGCATCTCGTCTGCAGTCGCTCTCTCACAGACGTGCCGTCGCCTCCCTCTGTCTTTTTTACAAATACTTTCAAGGTAATTGCTCCGAGGAGCTGCTTTCGCTGGTTCCCAAACTTCATGAATTTAAACGTTCTACTAGGCTGGCATCTCGCTCACACCCTTTCACTGTCGAAACTGTTAAATATAACCGTCTCTTCTACTCCAATAACTTCATGTCTCGCACCTCTCGCCTGTGGAACTTCCTCACCTCTTCCTGTTTCCCTGATAGCTATGATCTCCAACTATTCAAATGTAATATCAATCGACATCTCCAGATGCTCTGATCTATCCCCTATCCTTCTCTTCATCCTTTCCTTTATCACTCCTATTTGCTCTAGCTCCAACTCTCTGTAACCCCTTGCGGGCTAATGGCTTCCCGCCTTGCTTGGGGTGAAACGCTTCAAAAATATCTATAATGTTATGAATTACGCCTCGTAAAACTGGTAATAACGTGAATGATTATTAATAAGAGTTGTTTACCTTGATTCACTTTTTTTATGCTTCGGACTGTTTTGACGTTTAAACTGCAAATCAGGGTCGGTGCAAGTGTCTCGTCCCCTCAGCCAAATCTATGTTACGGTATCCCCCTCCTCTTCTACATCTCAATCTTTATAAGGTAGTATTCATATAAAATATGCTCAGTGTTGATGCGGTGTTTTCCGTAGGATAAATTTACTAGCCTCATGCTCAATCATTTTTTTAATTTAGAGTTGTCGTTCTTCAAGACTGGTTTCTGACCAAAACTATGGGACCCTACCAAACCGACTATTAACCCCTACTTGGAGGGACAAGAGATGGCCTCATGTATTTGCAAAGAACACGAATATTATGGCCCCAACTGGAATTTGAATTCGATACACGAAATCCATATTCCGCACCAATAAATGCTATGCTACATGAATATTATTATTTATTTATACATTCATTTTAGTCTTTCCATCACAAGCAAGGCAATAAAGCCACTAAGATTTAATGGGGTTACAGAAATTGTGAAAAACTGAAAAATTGGTGAAAAATAAATTTATACATTTAGGAACATTAAAAGTCGTAATGAGTATTTAGTATGGCTTCCATTGGAACGAACTACAGCCAACCCCCCATACACACGCAGACACACACCCACACACACACACACACACAAATCGACGTTGGATGTTGGAATACAACTTAAAAATTGTATTTATGGGGAATGCTCAGCCATCCCACTTAACAGCCAGAGCAAAACTCTTGCAATTTCTTAGGTTTTCTGTTTAATTGGCCAAATAAATCAAACTCTCTCCACAGTGGCTCCATTGAGTCATGGTTGTGTCTTTGAGCAAGTTAAAATTGTAACAATGTAATCTCTTCATCAGTAAGAAACATCTTTGTTGAATGCTTTGTATGGCAACGTGATCCAATATGGAATATTTCACCTTCTGCTATTTCTGCTATTTCTGCTAATTCGTGGAACTGTAGCAAAGCCATATATATTTTCCATTGTTTGCTGTTCCGTCGATTTTTATCAGCTTTCTTGCACCATTGCAGCTGCTGTAGTTTAATACAATTAGCCTCGCGTCATCAATAAATTTTATGGTCTCTGTTGTAAATTTAGATTTTTTTCTTAAACAAATTAGTCTTTGAAGTTACCCTCTTGAATTGAAATTCA